CTAAGAACAACATAATCGAAAGGAACAGTACGTTGGTGAAGAAAATCGACAAGTATGTGGCTTCTGAATCCGCAACTTCGTTTTTACGAAAAAGAGCGCGCTCCTGGAATCAAACATCAGCAGGTGACCTATGTTGGAAGTAAGAGCAGACACTTATTTACCTCCTTCTCCTTGGTGCTCATTTTCTTGTCATTTGCGTATTTTTGACTGATTTCCCTATCCACAGCAGAACCTCGTTTCATGACGATCCTTCACAAAGCATAATAAATTTAAAAGTGTGGAGATCAGTCATAAAAACATGCTTACTGGTGCTTCAGAAGCCTCTTCTGATTCTTACATGCCATAGAAAGAAAGTAAGTTGATGCGACAGCGGAAATCAACCAAACTATCCATGATTCGGAAACCTGAAGGCAAGCATTCATAATGCATCGGGAAAATCCAACGGGCAAAAAAAGGACAAATATCATGCGATGACAAAACAATATCCACAACATTCTTTGGCGTAGAAGGCCCAACCATGTATAGAGCGCACCTTTGCCTCGGGCGATGCGAATGATCTCTCGCTTCACTTTTGCGTGTTTTTTGTTCTTTTCTATCTGTGAATGATCCAGGCTAATGCCGTTTGGACGCGCTGACTTTCGGCTGCAGAGCTCATTTTTAAAGTGCCTAAATCACTAAATCACTGAAAACTTGTATATAGAGGTAATCTAACATCCTGATTACGACTATGACATTCATTCTTGGCGCTGACGCTAATGGAGATTACTACGATTATCTACGCTAGTGTCCTTTATTAGCGCCAGCGCCAGGAGTGAATTGTGAACAGGATGTTAGACTACCCTTGTATACAAGTTTCCAGCGGATTTTAAGAGCACTTCAACAATGAGCTTGCAGCCAAAAGACAGCGCGTCCAAACGGCATCAGCCAATGATCCACATTGAATAAGAAGTGTACGAAAGGCAGCTAAATATGTAAACATGTGCGCAGAAAAGACAAAAACCCATCGTCTGTATAGTGTTTCGCGTGCATCGACGCAGGCGTCTTTGCGACATTGGAAATAAATGCTCCTTAAGCCTCAGGGTAAATAAAAAACACAGCAAGCTAGGGTATTCTCATTTTGAAAGGAATTCCCTTTCCGCCCCATTTTTTCCCAGTAAATAGAAATAAGGTAAGTTCTTCGTTCTACGTGTCTCTTAAAACAGTTCACGCGATTAAATTGTGAATAATGGGTGCTCAGTTATGAAGCAGTAGCTGTTAAGTGATTCCTCAAAGAGAAAACCCAAAAAGAATCCCAAAATTACCACGAACAAAATCGCTCCTCGACTGTCACACAGACTCATTGTGAGTTCTCTGTGAAGTTGCTGGTCACTCGACCTCCTGCTTTTTCTGTGCAACCCTGGCTCACAAGTCGATGGCTCCACACGAGAGTGGGAAGCAGCGAAAGTGCAAAGTGCCCTCCCCCGTCCTCTCCCGTCGCCGAACTGCTCGAAAGACACTTCAGAAAGCCAAAACCAAGTTTCCAGTGATTTACCAAACAACATATAGTTTACGTCATCCCATTCAAAAACGTGGAGACATATAGAGGGATGCCAGAAAAGCAAAGAGGTTATGGCTGTAGGCTTTTATATCGTGTGCCTTTTGCTAGGTATCCGTGAAGTTAGGCTAGCGTAGCCACAGAAGAGAATCTGGAGAAATCGAAAAGAAACCCGAGAGGCCAGACTCAGCGCCGGATTATGGAATAGGACGTCAGAGGAGGAAAGTGCACTGCTCAAACTTATCCTATGCCGGACAGCTATTTGGGTACAATGTTGTTCTCCAAACGAAATGGGAAGATTTGGTTCAGAATTCCAAACAGGGAAGAACGAAAAATGTCTGATTGAGGAGGGCCCCATAATGTTTATCCAGCACACGAAAAGTGGGTGAATATTTCAAGCGCTGAGTATCTGATCATAGAAGTTGGACCCTTGCTGAGCTTCCTCGCGAGGCTGACCTTCCTGCTGCAACCATTGCCCGAGTATGTCAGAAAAACTGAGGATTGTCAGGAAGATGTGTGTCTGGGCACCTCATTCTCTTGTAGAAGCACGAACGCCGCACCTACTCTGCCTTAGGAGCGATGTTCCCCGCATAAGAGGTCATTCACAACTGTGAAGCCGCAGCGCGGTCCTATACTGAATAAGGGTGGTCCTATACTCGCAGCCAAAACTCACAAGCGTCAATTCAGAATGAATGCAGATGAAAACGCCCGAGTGCCGTCACCTGGGGTTGCGAATGCCCAAGCGGATGGCCATCATATCATAGCAATGAATTGCTGCACTGTCTTTCAGTGCCTCTGCACAGAGAAAAACCGTCAGTGTGCATGTGGAAATTTTTGTGTAAGGGCAGTTTAACGGTTGCGCTCGCTTCCCACACTATTATTAACATGACACATAAACTCTACCTCCATCTGGTGCACTCCATAGAACAAATAGAGAGGAGCAAGTGAAATAACGACTGCATTGAGGTAAAACAGCGCATTGCTTCTTGCTGAATTTGCTGGCGAATAACTGGAAAGAAGCACTTCTTCTTCCCTGGTGAACTTCCCCATTGTTACGCAATTACCTGAAAGAGATTTTGCAAGGAGAATATTTGAAAAAAATACAACCGTGTCACGAAGCGTTGGGAAAAAGCTGGATCGAGCTGATCAGAAAAAAGGAGAACTTTTCGGTCAGACATGAAAACAATCGTACGGAATTATGGGCAGTCGTGGCATTCGGGAAAAGCTTGGAGATGACCTCCATGAACGAACTGTGGAGTAACGTATGTCACGGCGATGTATGCGATGCCGCTACAAGCGGTTGAGTAACAGGTACAGCGTAAAAATACAGGCGAAGGACGGAGAGAAGATATTTACTTGAATCTACATGGTGGCACAGAGAAAGAGACGGATATTATGAAGTGGCAAATCGCTGCAAAATGCTGAAAAAAAAGTGAGAAAAGCATAGAACTATCACCGGTCTTAGAAGAGAGTTCCGATTTGTCGCCGCAATCTCAGACCTGAATTCAACCGCGTGAGAAACGGGAACCATGAGTGTGTGTCGGAGGATGAGCTTGGCAATGAAGCGAACAGAAACAGGGGCTCATTTTGGAGTTTGATCAAAATGTTGGGATCTTCACAGTCCTGCAAGCTCAGTTCCAGAATTCTGCGACCTAAACGGCATTCGACATATTGAATACTAGGCCCACTTCAGAAATCCACCTGCATCGTTTTGCCCCGGAAGATTTTTTCTCGTTACACTTTGTAATCTACCATTTTCGGATGTTCATGTGCCGACGCGTATGAAAAATACGGCGAGTAACCACTGATATTATATCCGAAACATCCTGCACTTAAAAACTTCAACTATCCCCTCCTTCACCAGCTTCTTCCGCCCAAGTCCTATGTTTTAGCAAAAGAATTTTCCTCACAGCTGAAAATAAAAAGAAAAATGTTTGCAGTGATTCCGAATGCAAGCATGAAAATGTCCCGCATATTCCACTAGAGCCAAGTTTTGAAAAATCACCCACAACAAACTGAATTCATGCAGCTTATGTGACAACCATTGAAACTGGGACCGTTCGTCTTCGAAACTTTCCTTGCGTAATCTTTGTCTTGTTCTTCTCGAAGCTCATCACAATCTAGGCTAAACGCGGGCGCTATCGTAGTTGCTACATAGACTACTCGACCGAGAACCTTTTCTTCCTCTAAACCAAGCTTGAACTCATTGGAAATTGGTGTTCCTTCCTTACATACTTCGCGGAATCTGCAGGAGCGCGTTCATACGTCACGACCCGGTCGCGCGGTCCCAACGCTCAAGCGACCTCGTCGCGCTCGAGCATTCGGATCGCGAAGTATGAACGCGCTCGCAGGCTCCGCAGAATGCGCTCAACTTGAAGAATCCGCTAAATCGTTGAAGAAGGCAGGATATCCTTTCTTCAAATTCCACGAAATCTGCGGGTTTTCAATCGATATGCATGCGTTCTTTTTTCCGCAGATTCCGTGCATTCTGCAGAGTGTGGATTCCCTGTGTATGAATCTTTGTGTGTGACGGCTTCAGAAGATTGCCCTCTACACTCTAAGCCTAGTAGGGGAGAATACAGTGGCGCAACTGAGTAACCCCTTACAAAATGAGCTCCAACCATTTATTATTCCAATTCCGAGACTTGATAATGAGGACGCTTAGATGGTCCGATTAAAGTCGTAGGCACGGAACTTACATAGAAGTCATGGACGGAACGCACAGTAAAGTATAACAAGAAAACAGACCAAAAATACTAGGAAATCCCGACCAAAAGCCAACAACAACAGTGAAATTGAACAATGGAGACTCACAAATGGGTACGAACCGAGCAAAATCTGCTGATGAAAGAAAAGCGTCACAATGAAAAACAAGCAGTAATAAATGGCAAAATTTACAACCAATGTTTCAGCTTCAATCATCAGAAGAAAGCGGACCATCGAGTCTCGCCGCTCGGCCTCCCCTTGTGCGACCATTGCCCAGAGGCGGAGCTCGATCGCAGTTTGTGGACTGCGTGGCTGCCCGCAATGCACGACGCCCGTTACTGTCGGACTCTACAAGTGGTTGCTACGCAGCCGAACTGCAAACGACTGGCCATTTGCCAACTTTTACGGTAGAAGCTGGGTGGTTTCGATCGCGCGACGTGGACCACGGAATTCTTGGCGAATCGTTTCTTCTCATTCGTATCAAATGAGCTGTCCCTTTTTAGATAGATCTCTTTCCTTTGCTTTTCCCCTTCTAACGCACTTGTGTTCGCCTCTTGCTGGTTTCTGTTTGTACGCTGAGCTGAAGAGTTTGAAATTTTAGCAGTGGTAATGTCGGATACTGGACGTAGCCCTCGACCAGCTGGCACTCAACTGAGACAGCGACGCGGCGGTGGTTAGTCTTTTTTTTTACTTTTCTCGCGATTATTCCGCTCAGGCTCTTGTTATTTGTAAAAATTAGCCCTGCTTTATTTCCCTTCTTAAAGTTTAGATAGTGGCACCTGCAAGCGTAGAGTTCCGTGAGGCCGTGTTCACAGAATTAAAGAATTGCGGAAGTATTACAATCGATACCTATCTAATACATTTTGTCATGCTGCGTCCATACCTTGCGGCTCCAGGAGCGGAGAGTATGGGCAAGTAGAAGGGAGCAGAGAGCTGGACTAGGCGGCTGTGGTAGACGCTGATGGACGCTGGTGGACGCTGCCGCAATGTATAAACGCAGCCTCAGTTCTGCAGTTCCGCATTCCATCAATTCGTCAATTCTCCTCTGTCGCAAGCTATGAAGCAGAATGTTGGGGTGACCAATAAATCGTCCTTTTTTTGGAATGTTCATTTTTCCAATTTTTTTGAAAAACAGTCCAAAGTGGTTGGGAACAAGTGCACTGATTTGAGCAGCAGTTCGTAGACTGAGAACCATCGGCTTATAAGCACATTTATTTCTGAATGAAGCCCTAATACCTCAGGCGAGAGCCTCGTGCACACGCTCGCAAACATCGTTATAGAATCGCTTGTGTTGCCACAATTCATGCGACTGAACGCCTCGTGTCGCGAAACTACGAGCTGTGCTTTGCGTGTATTCACAGTTCGCGGCATCGGTTTACTGTTGCAAAGGCGGTGGGGAGGGGCGGGGAGGACAGGAGTCTTTCTAAATATTCCTTACCTCGGTGGCATAGCTAAGTTAGTATTACATTTCCCAGTTCTGCATCCACGCTTCGATCTCATACTTTTATCCATTTAGTTAGTTCAGTTGGCAAGGCTTTTTCCACTATTGTTCTATCTTGTGGTACCCTTCTTTGTAGGTTAAGGCAAACTCCTCTGTAGGACGCAGCGAAGCGTATTTTTTGTGTATTCTTGTCTGTGTGAACGGTCTGTTACAAATAGTAAGTGCTTTGCATTGAATCACGAGATAAGAATATGCAGAAAAAGTGTTGCAACTACCGTTGCTATGTCTAGAATTATTTCGCGTGTGCGTTTTCGTTGAAGCTTCTTACACCCCAATAAACAGGGCAATATTTCGTCACAATTCTCTCATTGTCGGGTGACGGCTTCATGGAACAAACACTTTCATACCAATTATAGTCATTCGGTCTCACATCCTTGAAGGTAGCACTTTCCCAGTTCTTCGCTTTGGGCATGGAGCATTTAGATCAAGGTGAAAAGAACCCTTTCGTTTCGGCTTCGAGCTGGGTGCTCTCTTTTGTATCGGCACTAATACTGCATATACTGTTTAATTCGCTGCGGATGATGGGGCGTGACCGCGCGGCTGCGTCTGGCGCGCCGCCAAGACCATTCCCACCAGTTTTTTTTGAAGCGAGTTAGTGACAGAAACTGGTGGAAAACGACTGATACGGACGATATTGTGCAATCTAGTCGCTTGCCGAAAGAGAAAAAAACGAAGAAAAAATGGGTTGGCACGCCAGATGCATCCGCGCTGACAAGCCATGTCATCCACAGCAGACAAGACTATAATTTGGGTTTAATATGTGGTCGAGCATCCTTGTTAATAAGCAGTTGGGGAAGGGGTGATCATCTGGAACGTCTTCCGAATAATTCTATTTTCCTTCATGAAAATGACTCAGACGTTCCTTTATTCCTTTTTTCTTTTAAATAAAGCTGGATATCTTTTTTTGCGAAGTGTTGGAGCTACATTTCTATAGATTGATAACGGGTTTTAGGAGCAGCTGCTGCTTCTTCTGGTCGTACTCGTACTGGTAACAATGGAGGATTGTGGCGTTTTTATACTGAAGACTCCACCGGATTGAAAATCGGCCCTGTACCTGTCCTTGTAATGAGCCTAGTTTTCATCGCCTCTGTATTCGTTCTGCATATTTGGGGAAAATTCACACGAAGCCGCGCTTAAGTTGCAATCACTTCCTATTTATGGGTCACTGCTGTGTTCATTTATTCACATAAGTTTTCTCTTTTTTATATGCGTTGTTTTTTTGTAATATACAAGAAGAGGAGAATCTGTTTTATCATTTGTTGAACATGTATTCATAAATAAGACGATATGATTATTCTACTGATTGTGATGTACATTCAATCGACACTCTCGAGAAATTAAGCCTGTAACTTCGCACCATATCTGGGCGTTCTTTGTACGGAGCGACGTAGAGAATTTCGCAGTGCAGGCCTAGCGGTTGCTTGGCTTAGAATTGACCTTGATCTCCGCAACCTCTCGCGATATTCCGTCTTCTGCTCGTCCTGGAATTTTTGAAATTTGAATCGCACAAGACACTTGATCAGTGCCCATTGTTGGAAAATCTCTACAGTCATATCTAAAAGTTGGGCATACGAATGCGTTGCTGCGCATGTCGTATGAACATGGCGCGGAATACAACTTTTGTGGGACCTTTTTACTTGAGACAATGATGACCTTCCTTGTGCCAGACCAGAGGTGCTTCCGGTACAACCCAAGACGGCGATATCCCTCCGAAGGCACAGTCGTCGCCATGTTGAAGTACAGTGCGCAGCCATGCTCCTTACGTCTCCGGGATAACTACGGTACATTGACAGGGAGCTCAGGAATTACTAACAAAATGAAGAGGTTATGTATGACTTGCGAAGCTGAAAAGGCATATATGGAAATTGAAACTATTTTCGTTAGAGCGCAGCGGACAAAAAACAATGTTTTTCTCAAAGTATTGTTGTTTCTGTTCGTCCAATATCGCGGTCCATCCTGCCCTGAAACTACATTCAGGTTTCAAAGTGGCATGACAAATCCACAAGGTGTATAGGATGAGTACCCCTAGCAAGACAGAATGCGGTAAGGTTGGGCAGGCACTGTAAGGCGCCTTTTCCAACAAATCTACCCTTGTAGCGCCCTATCAAGCTGCAACGGGGCGCGCACCGCATCCGCCCGCCCACAATTAGCCGTGCAGTCACATCGACGCTGGTGCTCTTATCGCTTCATTCATGAAGTACAATCAATAAGAAGCGATGCTACATCGAGCTATTGATACATATGTACGTGCAACCGTATCTATCAAGGTGGTTGTTGGCACGGCCGAAGAGAAACTCGTCCAAAATGCTAGTCAAACGTACAGAACGGAGGTTTTCCCGCAGGTTTCAGACCGTTTAACTTTTGTCATTTTCTCACCACATTGCACCCCTGCTACTATTTCTGAGCAAGTACCAAATTATCGTGTCTCATTCCTTTACGGGGACCGAATTCGTGGTATCGCTTGCTCTCTACCAGTCACTCTGGGAGTGCTCTATGTGCTCTATCCTCTGAACACAAGCTTGGCACGGTCCACCACGACTAGATCGATTAGGACCCTTCTTTCTATATCTATGACGAAGCATTTGTTGAAGGTAGTTGATATATTGAAAAGCGACACAAAAATTTTTTTTCAAACCTTTTTGCGGTATCATAATTGCAGTCTGTGCTGCACTCGGTCTCATCTATCTGAGGGTGATGGTATGAAACAGGTCAATTATCATTCGCGACGACGCTTGGAGTTAAAACACGAGATTCTGAAGGGACCGGGTGCTGCATAGAGTAAATGAGGCAAAAGTGGAAGCCTCCATGACAACCTTTGGCTACATGACGCACGGATCGTTCACCAGAAGACAGGCAAGGTGGGAGGCGATATTTTCTCCCAGGTGCCATATACCCTGATATAGCCTTATCTAAATGCCATTAGTTCCGGTTCGGACAAGACTCTTTGAAAGAACAAAAGAAATATCGAAGTTGTCCCAATTTTAGTTTATTTATTCAGGAGGAGGAGGTGGTGTAGTGACAAGCAGCGCGCTTACCATCTGCGCGGTCCTGGCTTCACATCCATTCCCGCCTAGGCCAACCAAGCCGTCCACCCTCCGGGACGGTGAATTGATACCAGACTCGTCTGAGAGGATAAGAACACTGCACATCGGTCGGCCCCCGCAAGTCATTGTATAGGCCACTACGATTCTGAATGGAAGTAGAATGCGTGCCGCATCCCACAAAGGGATTGATCAACGGCGAAGACTTTATCCTTTATCCTTTATCATAAAAGTCCGAATTTGAGCGTACAATTTCCGCGGTTCACTGCCAAGCAGTCTTCAAGACAGGCGTCCATCATTAGACGGGCGGGGGGAATGGCGAAGGGTCCGTTATTAGAATGAAGTACACCCCCTTTCTTTGAGTATTCACTTTTTTTGCAATAATTTCTTCGTGGCCTAACGTACTGTAGTATTTCCTTGCCGTAGTAGTACAACGTTGTCTATCCCGACAAACGCTATATTTCTCGCTTGAAGCTTTGATTTTCAAAAGAAATCGCTCACGCCTATAGATTGCTAGCTATTTACCTTAGCAGAAGAAGGACAACGGTTCGTCTGCAAAGAGATGAACGAAAGACTTCAGTAAAGTACGAATGGCATGCCATTAGCGTCATAAAGCAGTCTAGTCCATTTCAAGTAATTCTTTAGCGTTACAAGACAGCCTTTACCAGTGCTGGGTAGCTCGAAGCGACTAGAATTTATGTGGGAGAACACTTAAAATTTGTGAAATGGAAGGCGCCTAAAAGATAGCTAATTTCTACAATTGCTGAGAGAGTCACCTTTGTTTTGAACAGGGAGATGTACACGGGAGATGTCACTGACTCCTCTTCTTCCAAAGAACCGCCTTCGTGGTCTCTGTAAGACAGAATGTGGTGTGCCTAGCATTTCTTCACATCTGAATTGGCATTTTCCATGTCAATTGTAAATCATGAGTTTTTATATCAATTTCATTAGCTAGTTTGAATGTTGAAGAAGTTTGATTTTGCAAAAATTTGCAGAATGTGGCTTTACATGAGGGCATGACTTGCGCACAACAGGTCTTCCATAGCTCAGGAATGAACAGGGGGTAAACCGCGACCAGTTCAGAGAAAACTGAAAAAGGCAAAAACCTGTTCTCAGGTATTTTCTCCTGCTATTATTCCCCCACCCGCCCAAGTCCTATTCGCAGCCCCAGTGTAGCGTCGGGCGAAACTTCTCATCCGGGCTAGGGGAAAGTTCCACTTTAGCGCCTGGCAATACACCTAGTTGTCACATATGTCTAAAACGAGGATTAGCATAGAACGTGCCCTACTTCGGCTTCGTGCCATTCACGAAATCGGCTCGCACCCAATATGGGAACACATGGCCATCGAGGCCTAGCTACTCATTACAGATTCTTTATGAGTTTTACAGCAACCTCACGAATAGGAACTCATCGTTCTACAAGGAGATCATCATTGATGTGAAGAGAGGGGTCCGACAGGGCGACACCATCTCGCCCAAGCTCTTCAGCGCCTCTCTCGAGAACGTCATGCGTCAACTGGAATGGGAAGACATGGGAGTGAAGATCGACGGTCGGCAACTACACCATCTCCGCTTTGCTGACGACATCGTTTTGATAACACCAAACATCGAGCAAGCGGAGCAGATGCTGATGGCTGCTTTCGACTGCGCGTGAGGAAAAGTCGGCTTGCAGCTGAATATGACGAAGAAGATATCATTCTTATGATACCCTTATTATATACATTATTATGATATATATTATTATGGGAAATCAATATGGAACGACTTAGCACCAGAGCTGAGCAGGAGGAAGCGAGCGGCTTGGGGAGCCTTCAAGAACATCGAGGGAGTAGCGAAGAAGACGAAGAACACCAAGCTCCGTGCCCACCTTCGATTCCGCGGTCCTTCCTGCTTTGCCTTAAGCCCGGAGATTCGCCAGTGAAAGTGAGAATCCGGAGCTTCACACTACGTCGACGATAGAGGATAAGGTAGCCGCATTTGCCGAGGTATCGAAAATTAGGTGAGCCGGGCGTGTCGTCATGCTTTTGGAAGACGACTGCTGACCAGAGCCATTTCCAACAGGATTCCACGGGACTTTAAGTGAATACCTGGACGACCGCCTACATGATGGTCAGACTTCTATGTAAAGCTCTGAACGGAATGATGTTAAGATCATCGTGTCTCTGAGGAGAGAGAACCCAATGGGCAACTCTAGCACGCTTTCTACGTTGCGGACGCCCGCTCGAGGCACTCGATTCAGCGGGAGCACAGGTGATACAGGTAATGTTTTTTCCCCATCTCCATCTACTCAGCCTTGTCTGAAGTAATTGAAGTGTACTCTTATCCTACCTAATGGTATGGGGTATGGTAACCACTAACGGAGCTTTCTAAGCCATCACAGCGTATGGTCCAACGCAGTGGTAAGAATGTAGCTGCACACCTCATAAATGCTAGCTTAGCTTCGTTACTCAGTAAATTCGTATGCATTGTTTTTGAAAGACAATATTCGAAATACATACGATTTCTCATCGCGTTATTGAAAGGAGAATACCTAACTTGTCAATAGGTGTCGCGCAGGAGCGTCCAGTCTTCATTGTATTACTAGCTACGAAATCTGGATGTCCTGAGCTGGCTCGTGATACCCGTGAACTGTAGTCCAATGGCTGGATGACCGTAGCTGCTAACTGTAATGCACCACCAGAAAGCGTTGTGGGGCGCTCATTCCTGAAATACTGTCGTATTAGGTCTTAAACTGATGGATTGACGTATTGTGCTCACAAACAGCCATCCCAGGCCAGAGTAGGGCCCATGAGAAGATGATTGAAGACAGGTGGTGATGTGGGCAAGAATAAGGGCGATGTTGACTTTGAATTGTTCATATGGGCAGCATTCAGACCATGCAGATAGGCGTCTGAAAGTGGTTTGCTTTCATTAGAGCGGGACCGGCCTGTTGAGATAATTACAGAACGAACTATGTGAGATCACCGCGGCCTGTTTTTGCCTTTGCTTCAACAACCGGTACTGCTTCCTGAGGGAGCGAAGATCACTCCATTTGTTTATTTTGCGACGGATATTGCCTGAATACTATGGCTAAAATATACTGGATTAATTCAGATGTATTTTAATATCATTTAATGAGAATTCGATGGGAGGATTCAATTACGATAGACAAATCTGATCGCAAAAGCTAGCCATAATGAAGACAGGGTGCAGCTTCGTTTGGGAAATCCCACCAGGGATCGCACTCGGCTTTGTTGGATGGGGAGGGAAGGGTCGTATTGCCTTCGAGAAGAAAATTTTCCGAGCCGTGGGAAGGTTTTCCGTTTGATTCTCTTTGTTACATATCCCTCTTTGTGGCGTTGCAAAACTCTCATACAACTACTATTTCTGGTAATTAAAATTATTAGTTGACTGTTGACGACCTTCCCTGGTCCATGGTAGTTTTTGGGGGTAGAGTGATAAATTCGCTGGAGAACTGGGAAAGGTGATAGGCAGCTGGGAACTTAGAGAGATGGTAGGTACCTAGGACGCGAAAGTAGAACCGGCAGAAGAAGTAGGGGCAGGATACAGCATCGTTGTGGAACCCAAAGTCGTACACGGCCGCTGGGGAGGGGGGGGTCATATTTGGTTGTTGGGA